ATGTTGAAAGAGGGGAGTGTGGCAGAAATATTAATTGGAATTCGCTCCATAATGTAATTGTTTAACTTTTTTCCTTTGTGCAGGAAATATAGCTTGATGAATTTAATTTTTGTATTAATCCATTCATAATAGCATAAAAATTAAGTCTATTTTTACTTTGTGAATTTATATATAATTATCTTTTTTAAACCCAGCCAAATACATTTTAAACAAACCATACCTAAATGCTAATCAGCCAAGTAATCAGTCAATAAGGAAATGTCATAAATGTACATTAAGCTGATTTGGTTCTATCATTGCTTATATTTGCATAGCAGTAGCATTTCCATGCAACTAGCAGCAAAGCATTTATTAACTAGAATAATTCAGAGTTGCAAATCAGTAGATGTGAATACATAGAACATCTTTCCTTCGGGAAATAACTACAAAGTAAAAATGTGTAACAAGAATGAAACTTACTCCATAATTTGGAATCCTGCTTGTTGTTTTGAATTCTGATTAAAATTGGTGGTTTAAATAATTTTAAATTATAGCAAACCAATACTGTTGTTTGTCATCACCAAATATATTTGAGTTCCTAGCTTATATACCACTAAATGAGGTAAACAGCAGTAGATTTTAAAATGTATTACAGGAATGTAGTTTGCTTTAGTAGTAGTAGGTGTGCAATAGGAAATGTGATGTTTCACCTGAGTATAAGGAATGCAACTAACTAGTTACAATGCATTTTTGTTGTGAGATAGTATCCAAAAGAGAAAAAGCTTGCAGGCTTTGTGAGACTATGAGACACATGGTCTGCAGAGTGGCTCAGGACAGTAGAACCATTGTGCATAAAGTAACATCTGAAACTAGGTCTCGGTTCAAAGTGAGACTCCAGAAGCAGTAGTTGTAAAAAGTTTCTGAATTGTTCTAGGGAATTTTGTACCAGTGACTTTGCTTAATGCAGCACGGTTTTTGATTTTTTTTTCATTGTAAGTGACTTGAAAAGCATTTAATTCCCAGCATGATAAAAATGCTTATTTCCCTGCTGCAAGCTTTCACTCTGCCTATTGAGTGTGAGGACTTCAAGGGAATTTTTCTTTTTGATAAATATTAATTATTTCTAAAGGATATTTCACTACTCCTGATATTGTTTCTATTTTATTTTTAAAATGGCAAAAACATCTGTATTGGTCATGTTGTATATTCATTACCTTCTTGAGTTTCATATACATTGATATATCAGTTGCTTTTAAGTACTTGGAAACTTCTCTTACAGGCTTTTGATTTTGAGTGGGTTATAATGTTATGGTGTGTTAATGCTGTCTGGCAGCTAAGCACCCACCTGGCCACTACTCATTCCACAGTGCAATGGGGGAGAGAATCAGAACTGAACCTCTTGCCTACTCCCAGCATACTCGCTGGGGTAGCAGCATAAGAAACACAAGATTTTGTGTGCTGTGAGCTCTGCTCAGCAATAGCTGACACATTGGTGTGTTACCAACAGTGGTTTGGTCATATAGTGCTATGCAGGCTGCTCTGATGAAAATTAGCCCAATCCTAGACAGATGCAATACAAATGTATCCAGTTCTAAATCACTTGCACACTCAGACCAATGCCTGCTGCATCCTGCAAATACAATATGAGTTGTAGGATCCTTGAAGCACTGAACTTGTTTCTCTATTAATCCAACTGTGTGGATCCAGCAGACTAACAAGCTCTTTACAAAATCAGTCAGGACTCGTCCTGAGAGCAACCAACTCTTTGGTCCTGTGGCTTATCAGTCAGCCAGTCCTTGGGAAACTTGGGCAGTCAATTTGAATGCTCCTGTTGGCTCATTTTAGCAGACAATCTGCACTTTTCCACTCATCAGCTTTTTTCTTCTGGTATCTATTTAACCTTTCGCACTTAGGGAGTCTCCTTGTTTCATAATCAGTTTTTGCAATTATATGATAGGATATGAGCTACTTAGTCCTCTTGTTGCTATAAAGAGTCACTGCTCCACTTTCTATTTATGTTTCTAAACTAATGAGTTTGCTAATAATTTCTGAACTGCTGGAAAGGGGATAGTATTCCACTTGAGAAGACACTAGCTAGGAATTTGGGACTTTGTTCTACAAACTGACCGTGTAATTTGCTAAGTCTCACTGTGCCTTGATACCAGTTTTGTAATTAGAGGTAATAATATTTTCTATATTGCAGAAGTGTTGAAACATTATTATTGTGTTTAAAAGTTTTTGAAATCACACAGGCAGATCTGTAATGTTAATCATCAGTGTCTATGAGATACATATCACATAACCTAAGTTGTTATTATTTTTCTTTTGCCTATTTGAAAGAGTTTTAACTTACAAGAGGATAGAGGCCTAATATTCTGTTTTGGCTTTTCAAATGCATATTATCATTCTGTGATATTTATGTCAACTCTGAAGAGCACATAGGTTATTTTTCTGAAGACTAAAAAAGCACCTTGCAATAGGCAAGGCTAATCCATGCTAATCCAACAGCAAAGGTTAACATATGAGCTGCATACCTGATGATCAGGATATTGAAAGCCAACTGATGTTTTGATAGAATGGTTTGGGTTGGAAGGGACCTTAAAGATCATCTAGTTCCAACCCCCCCCTGTATGGCAGGGACACCTTCCACTAGACAAGCTTGCTCAAAGTCCCAACCGACCTGGCCTTTGAACACTTCCAGGGATGGGACATCCACAACTTCTCTGGGCAACCTATTCCAGTGGCTCACCGTACTCACAGTAAAGAATTTCCTCTTTACGTCTAATCTAAACCTGCTGTCTTTCAGTTTAAAGCAGTTGCCCCTTGTCCTGTCACTCCATGGGCTGTAAAGAGTCCCTCTTCAGCTTTCTTTTATGTTTCGCTTAGGTACTGAAGGCTGCTCTAAGGTCTCCCTGAGGCCTTCTCTTGTCCAGGCTGAACAACCCCAACTCTCTCAGCCTGTCTTCATAGGAGAGGTACTCCAGCCCTCAGATCATCTTTGTGGCCTCCTCTGGCCTCATTAGTTCTCAGAGAGTTGAATGTCACCATCGGATCTTGCTTGACAAATAAATATTTAAAAGAAACATTAAGAGTGAGAAAATTCTTTGCAAGTCTTTAAAACATATGCTAAACAAATAAAAACAATTAAGAGCTATTAAACCAAACAATTTTAATTCCAGACCTTTCTTTTTCAGTGGCTGGATATAAATATTACAAGAATCAATTCAATTGATACTTTTCCTTCTCCAAGGGACTGGAACATTTGTTCAGGTTGTGTAGTGCCCACTGTCTGTAAAAGGATTTGCAAAGCTGCAAGTGTGAAATGTTAGCAGCTACATGGATTCAGAATGTTTTAACAAAGCACCACAGAATTCTTAAATCCACACTGATGGGTATAAGTAATTGGCTTTGCTGAATCTATCTTGTTGTATCATACATTATAACATTTTTCATCTAATAATACTGTGTTATCAAGGCTGTCGGTCTGAACTAGTTCTCCCAGATGCTGAATTCACACTAAGCAATAGTACACTTGCTGCCAAGTAATTTGCATACACCCTCACTTTTGTACAGTGAAAAAGGATCAAATAATATATATTCTTTTAAAGCTACTGGCATGATGTACAAAATCTTTCTAGTGTTACAGTAGTAGTGAAGTGGATATGATGTGCCTGGTTAATCATTTGCATGTTCTAATCATTTGTTCATTGCTGTTTATTGTCTGCCCTGCAGACATTTTATTTCACAACCCATCTGGACTGAGTGTGAGAGCTTTAAATTCCACCTGGTATTTGATTAAATACTTTTATTTGAGGAATACTTCTTACAAGTGGTAGATTGGTATGCCTTGTGGCACATACTGTTCTCTAATGTGTAGGACATCATAGCTACGATTGCTGTATTTGTAAGAGATCAGATATGTCAGTAGGTACTGAAAATAAAGCTAAATTATATCCTTGCTTTTGAATAAATTGAAGGCCACAACTAACACAAGATCTGTGGTTAACACAGGAATCACAAGCATCCAGCGAGAAATACTAAGAATCCACTGAAAAGTAACTGACTTACTATCAGCTTATACTTAATTGTGCAATTGAATTTCAGAAAGAATATTTAAGATGCAAAGATATCATATATTTTTGAGAATAAAATGCTGCATACCTTCTAAATAAACAGATTTTAAGTCTGATATTCCTGTAGTTTCCAGCCACTTGTCTATTTTTCCTTTTCTCCCTTTTTTATCTTTATATGCAGATGGCCTTGTTTTATTTCATTTCGCAGAAAATGCCTCTTCTTAGAGCAACTTCCAGTTGAACACTTAGTAAACATAGGAAGCAATTATCCTATATTTGAGTTGAAGCTGAAGGGAACAACAGACACAGCTCATTCTACTGGAGTGTTAAATGAGGATAGAGTCCTAGAATCATTTAGGTTGGAAAACACCTCTAAGATTATTGAGTCCAGCTGTTAACCTGTACTGCCAAGCCCACCACTAAATCATATTCCTAAGTGCCACATCTACACATCTTTTAACTACCTCCAGGAATGGTGACTCAACCACTTCCCTGGGAAGCCTTTTACAATGAATGAGAACCCCTTCTGTGAAGAAATGTTTCCTAAAAAACATTCTAATTACAAAACAGGTGTCACAACCTGTGTCCTGAAATCCTGTCTTTGCATGTTTTCTTAGATGAATAAGAAAAAAAGAGCGAGAAATAGATATCCTTCATTTAGAGCTGTGTCTTTGGTCAAACCACAGACCTATATTTCAAGTATTATATGTTTTGGACTTTTAATTTCCCTTCTGCATGAATGGACTGGCTGTCAGACAGCCTTGGCTTCTCTTCATGATTCAGGAATCAGCAATAGCTTCTTTCACAGATACAGGTATGAGATGATCATGTAGTTGCCTAGTGCAACAGATTTCTAGGGGCGACGAAGTGAATGTGCCCTTATGCCTTGCCTATGGCAGAATTAAAGGGAAACGCTTCTGTAAAGTGTGTGGGGTAAGAGCTATGAAGTCACCCCTCACACTTTCTGAAGTAGCCATCATTACCTCCAATTTTTCATCTCCTTGGCAGAAGTAAGGGCAGTGACCCTGGTTTACAGGCACTCTGTGTCTCAATCTGTTTATCTCAATCTTCACATCCATTTGCAGGACTGGACAGAGCTCTGGCTTTTGTTGGCAAGATCAAATTTTGCCTTTACTGGTGAGAAGCCTTTAACTAGTATTGTCTAATCAGGGTGCTTTTTCTTCATCTACCCAGGTGATGTGTGTTGTTTTCTTTATGCTAGTATCTACTATTTTCAAAAATTGAAACCCAGAACAATGTCCAAAGCTACCTCTGACCTGTTGTATTTCTAATTTTTTTTTTCTGCTATTCATTTATGTAAAATAAGTGAAGCATGCTAAAGTTGTCGGTGTAAATAGGTAAGGATTAAAATTATGTGGTTTCTTTCCATCCATGGCTGCTTTTTCAAGTACTTTACAATGAACTCTTCTTTTGAATGAGAGAACGGAGTCAGACTATGAAAAGAATAATAAAAATAAGGCAGAGAAAGCAGAATAACTTAGGGTGAGGTGCAACTACATCTGTTTATTGTTTACCTTGTTCTAAACCATTTCAATGTTTGCTCTATAGAATCTTCTGTGCCAACCCAGCCAGAAATAGCCGTGTATGCGGCCTGTGTACCACTACATTTGTTTGAAGAGGATATTTTTGCCCTAACGCGGATGGTAAGATTCTATGCTCTCAGGACTGGAAAGCATTGCTTATTTTATTATCAGAGTGTTTCATTTTGTGGGAAGTATGTTTTAACAAAAAGAATACAATTAGCATAGTGAAACAGTCACTAGGTGATGGCTATCAGTTAAATTTATATTTTGTATGTCTGTATTCTGAACATTCATTTTCCTGCCACAGGCTGCTCATTTTTTCAGTTTTCCACCACTTTCCTCTGGATCTCAGAAGCTGAAGTCTCCTGGGAGAGACTAGATGTGAACTAATAAATGCATCATGATTAGATAGTTCTGAATGGAAAGTCTAATTATTTTAAGGGCTACTTGAAAAACATGAATTTTAATTTAAGACTACAATTAATGACTCTTCTCATATGCTTTCCAATGTGTTGTTTGTTGTTCTTTAAGAAATAGCATGTTTGTATAAATTTCTATCATTAGTGTTGTAACTGGTGAAAGCAGCTGGGGAGAGTGTAGCACTTCATGCAGCTGGGGTAAAAACAACAGTTAAATTTCCACTTAGTCACTCACAGTCCTCAGAAGAATATTTATAATGCCAGAACAGGCTTTCTTGAGTTGATTGTTAATTAGATTTTTTGTACATTTAAACCTTATTTATTATAATTAGATCATTAACATTTAAGCTGCCTTCTGAGGAAACTGATAGGCTGCATAGAATAAAGAATTTTCCAGAAATTGTTCGTAGGTGTTATGCTTTAGTGCTCTTAAGTCTTGCACTATTTTCTTTTTAAAAATTGTTCTGTGTATTTTATGCTATTTTGAAGATTAGCGTGTTCTCTGTGATTTTAATTTATTTTGAATTAAAAACACCGCCTCTTTGCTAATAATAAGTTATACTAGTCATCAAAATGCAAAGGAGAAATGGTAACATAAGGTTATATTTTTCCTGCCACCTAACACCTTGATGTGCTGGTTTGGACTGAAGTGGAGTTAATTTTCTTCACAGTGGCTAGTATGGGGCTATGTTTAGGATTTGTGCAGAACACAGGGTTGATAATGCAGAGATGTTTTTGTTATTGCTGAGCAGAGCTTACACAGAGTCAAGGCCTTTACTGTTTTCTGCACTGCCACACTGGCAAGGAAGTTGGGGGTGCATGGGAGATTGGGAGGAGACACAGCTGGGACAGGTGACCCAAACTGACCAAAGGGATATTCATAGGATAGGACATCATGCTCAGTATATAAAGTGGGAGGAAGAAGGAGGAAGGGGGAACATCTGGAGTGATGGTGTTTGTTTTCTGAAGGAAATGTTATGTGTGACACGGCCCTGCTCTCCTGGAGATGCTGAACACCTCCTGTCTGTGGGAAACAGTGAATTAATTCCTTGTTTTGCTTTGCCTGTGTGTGCAGCTTTTGCTTTCTCTATTAAACTGTCTTTTTCTCAACCCATGAGTTTTTGTAGCTTTTACCCTTCTGATTCACTCCCCCATCCCATTGGTGGGGGAGTGTGTGAGTGGCTGCGTGGCTCTTGGCTGCTGCTGGGGTTGAACCACGACAGTCTCAAACTTGACTACAGTCTGTTGGGATATACAGATTTCTGAAAAAGAGGCATGGCAAACCAAATAGGATGAGACAGATGAATCTATATGTCTAAACCAGTATTTTAGTAAAGACTGATAGAACAATGGAAGTTGACAGAAATTAAATATAGAAGTGTAGTGGATTTCTTATGGATTAAAAAAGTACCCATTTGCCAGCTTTATTTGAGGGCTGAGACATAACCACACTGATAGAAATAAAGTTTGGAAGAGTGGATTCACTGGGATAAGAACTGCTCCTAAATTTGGAGGAAATTTTGTCATTGACTGCAGTTGTGCCAGAATTTCCCTCCAGAATTTTTTCAGTATTCCTTTTAACTTTTTATTCTAGTGTGGATGTCCTTGGATTGTTGTGACTTGAATTTGTCTTAGTTTGCCCAAACAAAATGGGAAAAAAATCAATAATTGAGTCATACAATTGTGTTGTGTGCTCAGCAGCTGACAAGTTCTTCTTTATGGCACCTAACTGGTCTTCTTCAAAATCCTTTCTAATTGTGGATGTTTTAACCGGCATTTTTAATTTAATTTGTTCCCTACGCTTTAAATAACTGACAACCACAACTACATTCTCCTCTGCTGAGTTGATAAATACAGAACCTCAGAATATTCAACAATGAGTAAAAACAATCAGAGTCTTGCTGATGAGCATGTTAAAGAACTAAATTATTGATGATTTATTTAGCGTGTAAAAGAAGGTGTGGCTTTAAAATAAAAAGGATGTATAAATCTTGTAACAGAAGTTGCAGGTGTGACAAATGTTAAGTACTGGACCATTATTATTTTAATGCGAAGAGCACCACTCAATGTCCACATCTAAAATTGCTCTTAAGTCTATTCCTAAGGGCTTTGGCATACAGGTCAACTAGAGTGTCTTTAATGTGCTTTATAAATTAGCCAGCAGATAAAAAGCTTAACTTTAATGATGTATTAATTCAAAGCGATACTACATTATGGAGATTCCACAAGTTTTCTAAATGACCAGTTGATTTTAGAATTCTACCACTTGATAAATTCAGCATGAAGTAAGGACTGTTTCCCTCAGAGGAAGTATTTGTAAATATATTTATTTAAAAGAAAATATTGTCCCCGTTGTTTTGGTACATATTCATTCTCTTCACTTGTATGTTTTCTGTAGCACTTAAAGGAATATGGCTATATATACATTGAAAGAAGTATTGACTCTATTATGCAAACTAAAATACATGTAAGCACTTCTAATATACTCTACTTTTTCTGCTTAATATCAAATTCTAATTAGAATGTTTTTATATAGTCATGTCAGGTGAACTATTTTTGTTTCATTTCTTATCCAAGCTGCTAGATGCTTTTGTATGCATGCTGTTCTTTTTTGTTAGATATGATGAGAAAAGAGATCTGACCGAAGTCAGATTGTCTTTCCATGTTTCGTAGACTGATTCTTCGGAGAAGATGAGGCAATATGGGCTTTCCCACATATTCAGCCATCCTGTCCTGATCACTAGAACTAGGTCCTGTCCTCTGGTAGCACCACCACAACCACCAACAGTTCCTCTTTGGATGCTTTTCCGTCAGAAAAAGAAAACTGTTGTGACATCTGAACCCCAAGGTTTGTCTACGAAAACCTCCAAAATAAATTTGTAATTAAATTTTAATTATTACAAACATTTTCAGGGCCATACTTGTCATCTGTTAACCTAATTTCAATTGAACTTTTTCTTTCTTTTTTATTATTTAGTTTTGGCCAATTTTGTACTACTTCCTCTTAGCATTTTTTCTTAAATGCTTTGAGAAGTGTCTTAGTCTATGTCAGAAAAAGCACTCTAGTGGAGAAAATGAAGAGGGAGTGTTATCAAAGCAACACAGAAAAGCTCTCTGATGCAGAGCCATGAAAGCTTCTGGGCACCTTTTAAAAATTTAAAGTATGTGACTAGTCCTGCTGCATCAGTTCACAGTTTTAGAGTAAATTTTTTTTCCTAGGGTTTTTCTATACTGCATATAATGGAGTTAAATGCATGATATGAGATAGCTTGAATATGAAAGTGTTACAGGCATGCTAGCAAAGTATACTGGGATAAGAAGCAGGAAATTGGCAAAGGCTGAATGTGCTCCCATAGTTGATCTGAACTACCCTGGATAACCTTACATATACATTAATGTACATATACATTAATACTTTGCTGGCTGAGGATTGGAGTACTAAGCAGTTTTTTCTTTTCATTATATCTCCTAGAACCACCCCTGGTTCTTCTGTTCCATTCAAGTACATGTGATGATACTTAGAGAATTATTTAGGAGTGACAAATTCCCCACAGGAAATTATTTGTCGAAGTTATAGTGTTAAATATTTCTTATTAATATATATTTGACAAGTTGTTGGGTTTTTTCCAGAGCCTGTGGTAAAGAAACCTGAAGAATATGTGGAGATTTCTAGCCCATTTTTTAATTACAAATTGAATCTCATCACAATACCTACAGTCATGTAAGTATTTAATGCAGTTTCAGCATTAGTATTATTCCATTTCACCATAAGAGTGCAATGACTTATCTTTATTTGTGTCATATGGAAAAAAACTGCTCAGGTCAGTTAGTCTGAAGCACATCAGGATCAGCATTCTATTGTATTGTTGTCACGTAGTTAATCAGCTATCACATTTAGGATCAATATCAGCAGTACAAGAACTAAATTGCTATACTAGATGCTTACAAAATGTTAAGAAACACCTACAAACTTCTGAAAACCTTCCCATAGCTAATCCCAAGAATTTTTAATCATGCACACAGAGGCACACACGCAATTTTGAGCATCCTCCTGGCACTGAGGGCTACACGCACACCTTGTCTTCTGGGAGTGCAGCACACACCTCCTGTTGGAGATGGAGGTTGGATTGCTCTTAGCTTTAACTGCTTCTCCCTGCAATCTGCTAATCTACATGCTGGTGAGATAGTTCACCATGGGGTGGGCATGCAGACAGCTGAGGAGTGAGTCACCTATTGTCACAGCCCGTTCGGACAGTCCCCTAGGCAGATACACACTTCTCAAGGCTTCTGACATTGAAGGACAGGCAGTGCTGTCAAAGATACTTTGCCAGATTCTCTACTCATGTGGTCCAAAGATGTAGAATATTAATAGATCACTTCCACCAGAAATAGGAATATTCTTTGATGTCTTTAAAATTTTTCCTCAGACTACTGGTCTTTCTTAACTCTTGCATGTAACAAGGAAGTAACGGACTGGCTAGTCGGTACTTTCATGGGCATCATGTTAATGTTTATGAATAAAAGAGGGAGTTCTCTGTTCATGATAGTTCTTAAAACAAGCCTGAGAGTGCAGGTGAAGAAGCTCATGCTCAAAACACAGCTTTGTATAAATGCCTTGTGTTAGGACTGTTTGGAAGTCCTATAAACCCTTGTCTTTTTACAGGGTGCCTTAGAGAAGGCTCAGAATTGACTTTTAGTCAATATTGAATTGTCGGTATAATACTTCCTCCCTGATAGGAAAGATTGCTGGTTTATGTATCAAGGTCTTTTTTTATGTCCTATGACCCACTGCATAATATATTTCTGTCAGGCTTCAGCTTATGATGTGAACATTCAGTAGACAAGTTCTAGAATTATTAATCCCATCACTTTTATTCTGACTGAACTCCTGTCAAGAAGCATTGAATGTATCATATACCAAGTGTGCACCAAAAGGTTTATGTCATTTTGGAGAATATTTCTTTTCTTGAGATTGAGTGCAACAACAGTTTGCAAATTGTTGGAAGTGTGTGTATTTTTTTAGGGTGTGTACACCTTTTGTTATGTACGTCTCTAAGTAAACTGAATAAACTACATACATAGCAGTTTCTGCATTTTGATCATCATAATTGGATGGATTAATAGTAAACCAGTCATGTATTTTTAATTTTTATTAAACAGCAGCCTTTGTCCATGGCCTTGGACTGTTCTGGGAATATAATTGTTTTGCTGATACAGTTGCATTTTATTGGTTAAAAATGCTCAAATTATTTCCCATTTGTTTTCAAACAGTAGAAGTAGAAATACATAATAATGATCTAAGCAATATCCATTAATAGGCTATCAAAAGCATGAGAGGTTAATAACTAAGATGTTGAAGTATTTGCATGTAAACATATTTTATAATGTTTTTTCATATTTGATACATTGCTCCATGGTCAGCTTTCCCCATTTTGTCAAGGACAGTTTATTTAATGTGCTAAGTTTCCATGACAATCAGCTAATTTAATCTTTTGTGATTTAATTAACAGGTAGTAGCCAAAAATATATAGCAGATATTGCATTTCATTAAAGTAATGTAGCTGTCTAAATAAGATACGAGACTTGGATACACAATTGGGACTGAAAGTTTTTAATCTCTTCCTTTTATTTTAATAAAATATTTTGAAACACTCAGAAGCAAGATAATTGTGACTTACTGCAAAAGATCTTGATATTTCATCATCTCAGTCCTTAAGAAGGGAGCTAGATAACAAATGCTGAGATTTTGTTTTGTTCTTTATTACTGTAATAACACAATTATGCATTTATGTCTAATTGGCATGTATGCACCATGCTTTGGTCTTGCTCTCCTAGTTCACTTAACAAGCAAAGAGTTATTTATATTTCCATCAGATTTTACTTCTGCCTTCAGTGTAGTCAGCAACAGAGCTTTCTTTTACTACAACCAGAATAGGCCTTGCACGGGTTTCCTTGGTTATCATGTGTTTTATCTGTCTGGTAGCTATGGAGACACATTTTGAAGGAAAAGACAAAAACTATTCTCACACAAAACACTTCATTTTTGCCCTACCTCCATTCAAGTAGCCATTTTTTCTTCTCTAGGGGCCACAGTAATTTATTCACTTCTGGCATTATCATCTAGTTTTCCTCAGCTGATTTGGGCTTTGCTTTTTTGAGGGTTAGTTAAGAGGTCTTTCCAGCATAGATATGTGTGTTGTTCCAAGCCAGTAATGACAAGGAATATATGCATATATAGATTCTTTGATGCCCTATGAAGCTGTCAAAATAAAGGAGCCACAAATTATTTTGACAACATTCTCTTAAGAATAGTAATTACGAAGAAAGTCATTTGAAAAAAAAAAGTATGGATTAAAGTGTTTGAGATTTCTTTTATTGTTTAGCCGCGTTCCACGGTCTACCATCAAAAAAGGATTTCGTTCCATATCCTGTCTCACGTCTGTTACTGAAAGTGATGAAAATGAAAATGACAGTAACGTGGATATGAATCAAAATAGGAGACACTCAAATGCAGAAGATTGTTCTCAGGTAATAATTTTCCTAATTTGTTTTAACTTGACCTAGTTTAATATTCCAAAGATAGGGAAAGTCCAAGTAGAAAAGACTTAATACTTAAACAGAGGTTTTTAAAGACAATTTGATAAGCTTTTTTTCCCTTGCTATTTAAGTAACTTCCCTACCCTTTCAAATATATTGATGTGTATTGGATGAGAAGTCTTTCTCAATGCTTTTTGGTTTAACCTTTTTTGTGATTTATTCCTCAGATTATAAAAGTTCTATTGCTAACACTATCAAGTATTTTGCTTTTTGCTCTTTAAAATCTTTAGATGTGAATATCTTAAGAAGATACTCAGGAGTCTTTTAAAAAAAGTGTTAGTTCATGGATAAATGTTATAATTAGTTTATTTCAGCTACAGTGAAAGATGTACCTGGACAATATTACTAGAAAAAGGTAACCTTTATAAACACATGCCTTAAAATGGCATCCCCATTTGGGTCTTAATGGAAAGACTTCAGATCTAGAGAAAGAGTTAAGGCTTCAATGATCAGTTTGTCTGCACTTAAGTTTCAGAAGTTCTGCTTTCTGAAGGATTTAGACCCTCAGGCTTCCTGAGCAACTCTGTGAGAGAATGACATTCCTCCAGACAGGTTCACTAGATGCAGTAGGCTGACCACAGGTTGCCCCAAATGACACAAGGAAATGCTAGTTACTAGGTACAAGTCTCCAGTGTAATTTTCCAAGATGGATAAGATGAATCTTACCCAAGTTCACTAAAACATTATGAGGATGACTTTGGGCAGTTGTAATTACTGTGATTTTTTTTCTTGTTATTGTCTTTGTTTTTAAATTATTACGTGAATGTGCTATCAAAAAACCTGCTCCTTCTAATATTTAAATCTTATATGCCAAACAGAGAAAAAAGTATACTT